AGAGATTTTTCACCGAATAGGAATGTGGTAAAACAGGGAGCTTTAGCATCGCCTTAAGAACTGTAATGCCAGAATTATCATTTGCTTCTTCACAATCGGTACTAGAAATGACTGAGTTTGTATATGCTTTCTTAAGTCGACGCATGCCCTGATCATAATTAGCTACACAAACATTATAAATAAATTTATATAACTGCTATTTATAAAAATGTACCACTGAGTAAATCATAAATATAACAATAATATTTTACAATTAAGATAATATAGAAGTATTGCAATTATAGTTCTAATTGTGTATCATACCTGCTTCTTTTAATATTAGGACTTCAAATGTTTTCCAATTTTCGTCTGGTTTTTTGGATATTTTTGTCCACTTGTCAACTTTATTCCAGTCTTTTTTTGGTGGGAAATAACACATCCATTTATCCGTGAATTTTAACCATGAGCATGGAACCAATTCTATTGCTTCGCTATCCTTATCAAATTTTTTGTGTGACATAAAATGAACAACTAAATGTGTTGTTTCTTTATTGAATGTATTCATGGTGGAACTGATAAGATAAAAATTTATAAGTATGAAAATACAATCATTAAGTAGAATTGAGAGTAATTATTTAGAATAGCCTCCTCTCATTCTCAAATTAAATCTTAATAAAGTGTACTAATTCGACACGGTTTCACTTAAAACGAAAGAATCTGGCAGAAAAACGTGGCGATCGACCTCGTAAATCGAATTATTAAGCGTTAAACAGATATCTCTAAGGTCTCGAACTTTAACGCTTAATAACTCGATTTTCAAAGCCGACCGCCACGTTTTTCTGTCCGATTCTTTCATTTAAAGTGAAAAAAAATACACGTCGAATGAGTACATTTTTATTAAGATTTGAAGTGGAGGGAACTATTCTAAATAATTACTGAAACGAGGTTATGTTTATACATATCATTTTATATTGGTATAAATACTTATATAGTGATTCAACTTACATCGTAGTCAATTTGTATACTTGGAAAAGTAATAATAGAAGAAAATCTCTTTGTTATAGTATTAATATTTCGTCAATACAAAGTACGTAGGTATGTACACGCCAACTAGTGATGTCAGATTTCACCATAGATTAATTCAACGTAGAGTCATGCGCGGTAATGCAAAAGTTTAAAGAAGATAAGCAGTGTGTTTACATACATATATTAGCCAGCACGAGGAACAATGGAACGAAATTCTCGATACGCTGATATAAAGGAATTTTACAGAATAATATATACACGAATTGAAATTAACACAAATTATTATGATAGACAGTTACTTTTTTTAAACTTGAATTAAACTTTATTATATCACATATTTTTTTATCCTTGTTTTATTATATTATATATATTTTATACTTATTAGATCTATAGTTATAAATTTATATATGTTATTTATTATTTATTCGATCGTAATCATATCTTTTTTGTTTATTATACATTTATTTACGTTATAATTAATTGTCATTTTAAATAAATATTTCGTCATTAATGTATCAAAGTCACGGCGTATCTTTTATCACATATTTTTAAATATACACATTTACTTTTAATATCATCTCCTGAACATTTTATATGGCTCCTGCTTATACGATCTCCTAATTCAAATATCCCAAAATCCGACGATACATGAGGATATTCAAAAACATTTCCTTTTATGGAAATTATATATCCTTCAAGTATAATTTCATTTAATTGAGTAATTGAACGTTTCGTTACATATAGGTTCTTTATTCTTAAAATGTTCCCATTGTATAAAGTAATCAAGTTATTAGGTCGACATGACGATATTGTTACATTATTAATTTCAATTTTTTTTATTGTTAGAGTTCCTTGTTTAAAAATTATATTACCAATTGTATTATACACTCGTATCATTTTATTTGGCATTTTGTCGAGTTCAGCTAAACGATTGACTACTTGTACTAATGGATTTTTAGGAGCACGAATCAATTTCTTTATTTTACCTAGCATATTTTCAAATGGAAAAGCCGAGAAGTAACTTAAAGAAACTTGCATGTATTCAACATCATCAGCTAGGTGGATTAAATTATGAAAATTCATGCTCTGACTTTCAGGATTATAATATGTTGGCATTAGATAGAAAAATTTTTCAAGTAATTTTCTAGCATAAGAAACTTGTTCGTTAGCTGTAGTGGATGAGTTACATAATATTCTACAAGCTACTAATAGAAATAAAACATGTTTGTAATGATTTTTTGAAAGCACGTTTTTAAGAACAATAGAACCGCAATACAAAAGGAAAAATCGAAATTGAGTAGCTTTCCAATTCATCCAATCTTCAAGATCATACTCTTTTCGTTGAAACTCGCAGGGTATTGATGACGTTATTGATTTCAAGGATGTTCTTAATATGATTCGTTTCATTCGTTTAATTCGAGCTAAGCCTTTATGTAACCATTTTTCGAAAAGGCTTCGTGTAACTCCGATGCATAATAAATGCATATAATCTAAAGTGACACCTCGAATTATATCAAAATTCGGTATTAATAATAATGGTGACGTTTCATTTTCGTTGTGATGACCTGGCTGGCTCTTGTGTTTAAATGATTCATGTGTTCGTAAAGCAGCCGTCATTTCCGGAAAAACACGCGTATTTTTTCCTTTTGTTAATCCTTTTGTTTCGCAACGTTCGCAACCATAAAAACCGTTATGACCTTTACAACATTTTATAAACGATCTTGCTGGTGTATCGCACACAAAAGCTGCTATTTCGAATTCATATCTTGAAGAGTTTATAGTAATTCCATTTGTTGTTAAAATGATAGATTCTTGAATAAAATCATTTAAAAATTCTCCGACAAAAGCTGGTTTTGAATCTCCATGATATATTGCAACAATAACAGGATCACTGTGATAATTAATATGAAAGATTTGTATAAGAATTGGCCAAAATTGTTGCCGTGAAGAATGGTATAGAGGAACACCATCAATATTGACAAGAATACGAATTTTCTTTTCTTTATAATTGTTTCCATTTATTTTTTTCTTCAATGCCTCTTCAATTCCAATATAATTAGGTGTTCGCCGTCGAAGAAGTGAGTGTCTAAATGTTGTCTACATGTCCGCCGTCGAGGAAGTTGGTGTCTAGGTGTTCGCCGTCAAGGAAATGGGTGTCTAGGTGTTCGCCGTCGAGGAAATGGGTGTCTAGGGGTTCGCCGTCGAGGAAGTGGGCGTCTAGGTGTTCGCCGTCGAAGAAGTGAGTGTCTGGGTGCTCGCTGTCGAAGAAATAAGTGTCTAGGTGTTGTCTACATGTTCGCCATCGAGGAAGTTGGTGTCTAGGTGTTCGCCATAGAGGAAATGAGCGTCTAGGTAATCGCCGTCGAGGAAGTGGGTGTCTAGGTGTTCGATATTGGGGAAATGGGTGTCTAGATATTCGCCGCCGGGGAAGTTGGTGTCTAGGTGTTCGCCATCGAGAAAATGAGTGTCTAGGTGTTCGTCGTCGAGGAAGTAGG